GTGTGTGTGTGTGTGTGTGTGTGTGTGTGTGTGTGTGTGTGTGTGTGTATTTGGGGGAGGAGGGAGGAGATCAACGTGGTATAATGTAAAGCAACTGAAATATATAGAAAACACCATCTGGGATCTTTCAAGAGGCCTAAGAATAGCTAAAATCTTTCTCTCAAATCTAGATCAAGTCACGTGTCATAAACGCAATCCTTATGGAAGATTAAGTTAGTAAGGCCTGACTATGCCATAAGCTGATTTACAACATGCCTTTCAAACCCGCCAGCAATACCAGTATCTAGTTGAAAGGCTGCTTCACAGACCTTTTTATTACCATTCGCAATAGCCCAAATAAAGTAACTCTACTTTAAGAAACTTTCGATGACTTCATTTATTATCACCTCTGGTGCCAGAAATGGGAATGGCTTAGTAAGCACAGCTTATAGGTGTAATTATTGCTCCTGCAGGTATCTACAGCTCATGCTGGCTTTGGAGACTCTTAAGGTTTCCTGTATTCACCCACTCCATCTACACTGTAGCAATACTACCTGCATTTGCTCTACAAAGGCAACAAGGCAATTTCTAGCTGATACTTAGACTGGGACTTGCTTCTTTGTGATAAAAGCAAAAAAAATAATTCAGCTGGGTTGGGGAAAGGGAAAACACCAACACAAAAACCCCACTTCCATTTCTGCTGATCCTGCAAGAATCACAGCTGAGTGTGGAAATCTAATTTCTCCTAACGAGCCTACATCCGATCTGTCCAGTCATAAGAAGAATAAGTTCTCGCACAGCTGGATGGCTGGTTCATGGTGTAAGATTTGTCCTGACAGGAAAGCTAGCTTGTGGGCATATTTGCAAGGAGCTGGAACTCTGATGGTACCAGGCCAATTCCAGTACATGTGGCACAGTTTGAAAGTCAACCTGTAGGCCAAGAAGAAAATATGGTCCTTATCACCCACACCACCTTCAATTTGGGATTGATTATGTACTAAACAGGTATATGACACACAGCACCTTTCCAGTAAACTGGGGAACTGAGGAATACGTGATGGAGCTTTTGAGATCATAACTTGTAAGTAGAATTGTTTCAACTATTTGTAAGTCAGAGGGCATGGGGAAATCCTCTCACTTTAGGTGCCCCCATTTTTATATCAAAACAAGGTAAACAATAAAAGGAGGAAAATTTTTTGCCTCAAGAAAAGGCTGCAGAAGGGTAAGTACCCCAGCAGAGTACTTATATAATCTAAACTCAAGGGTATTGGGTCTCAAATCTGGCTGTATGTCATATTCATCTGTAGCAGTTTTTTAAAACACTAATGCCCTGGTGGCGCAGTGGTTAAGAGCTATGGCTGCTAACCAGCAGTTCGAATCCACCAGCCGCTCTGTGGAAACCTGATGGGGAAGTTTCACTCGGTCGTTATGAGTTGGAATCCACTTGACGGCAGCCGGTTTAATGCCTGGGCTCCACTCAAGCCTGACTATAAATCAGAATTCTCGGGGGTTGAAGCCTGGGCATCAATATTTTTTAAAAGCTCTTCAAGTAATTTTAATGTACGATTACTGCTCAAAAAGATACCATGAAGAAACTCAAGAGGTAACTTTCCTGCAGTGGACAGTGGCTCCACCTTAGCTAGTGGGCCAGCATTACTTAAGAGTGAGAAAGAGCAAGTTACTGATTGGCTCACCTCTGCATATGATCAGGGCTCAGGTTTGCAGTGTTGAGTACACAGATATAATGCGTAGGAATGCCACAACCCTGTCGCACATGATGGGCAAGAAGGTAGAAATCCACCCTAGTGAGGAAAAAGTACAAATTGTTGATATAGGCTGACTTGGCCAGATAAAGCTGGAAAGGATCTTAGAGATCATTCTAGTTCCTTCATCTAAGGCTCTGAGAGGTTAAGTAACTGGATCAAGGACACACAGTGGCCAAACCAAGATTAGAATCCAGGTATCCAAACTCAATGGGCTATTTAAGAATGGGCTAGACACTACACTATCGGTGTATAGAGAGATAAGCACACACTATCTTAGGGAAAAAAATGTATGTTCAATATTTTATACTTAAGAGGTAACAGCTTTGTTGATTTTAACAGTTTTAAAAGTTCTGTTGTTTTTTTAAACAGTTTTTTAAAGCTTCGTTTTTTTAACGTAATCTCTAAGGATTCCATACCACACTTCTCCAGGCACCCTCCCCATTCCAATACCCAGGGAAGAGAGAACTTTTCCAACCCATTCTTCCTCATGGTTTTTGCCCACTTACCATTCACAACTTGTTATTGTATGGTCTACCACCGTGCCAGGGGAGGGAGTCACAAAGTGCTCAGTAGCAGCCAGGTACAGATTGGTGCTGATTTTCTTCTGAACTACAAATACCACCATCTTGGGCTGATAATTCTCAAAAGCTTCAAAACACTTCTGTAGCTGAGGAATCTCATAGTTGGCAACTGTCTTTAGTTGGCCATCAGACACGCCATCACGGTATACCACTATCTTCTCTGGTAGACAGTGGTTCACCTGAAATGACACCCTGGATGAGGTAAATCATGTGGTTCCTGGGCTAAGCACCATAGTAAGAGGCTCACTCAAATCGTACATGGCAGCAGATGGTTCAGCCCAAAGCTACTGCAAAAATGGCAAGAGGGACTGTCTGACTTCCTCTAACTTCACAAGGGGGGAAGGAGAATCAAGATCAACAGCCCAAGGCTGATTCCTATGCGGTGGAGATCAGACATACCTCCTCTCTCGAACCTTTTTACCAATTCTGACACTAACCATCCCTTCCATGGCACTCTCTACTTCTCTGGTGGGTTCGATAATTCATTGCAATGGCCATACAAAACTCACCGACCATACTCACAGTTATGGGGTTTATTAAGGAAGTAACAGGTTACAATTCAGGCTCAGTCATAACTCAGGATACAGTTCTTCAATCAGGACAGTCTTTTCTCAGGCATGCCTGCAGGCAGGCCTTTCTTTAGCCCTTGTCTATCGGCCCTTCAGGCCTCTTGGGACAGCCTGGTGTCTGCCCTGCTCAGACAAGTGTTACAAAGCTCTTAGCTCCACTGATTAAGTGCCCAGAGACACCCAACTCCACCAGTAAGCCTCCTGCCTGAAGGTGCTCAGCTCTCTTGCTCTGTGGGTCAGCAAGCCCTAGCTCTGCCAAGCATCCAGAAGCACCTCACTATGCCAGCAAGCCTCCAGCCCAGAAGCGCTCAGCCTTCTTGCTCTGTGGGCCAGGAAGCCTACCACGCCATCGCCTGCCAGTCTCCTGGTTTTGCTGCTGCCAGTTCTCTGCCATGCCTACCACCATACTAAGTCGTCTCCAGTGTTACAGCTCTCTGTCTCCTGGGTCTAGAAGGTTCTCAGCACAGGGATCCCTAGTCCAAAGGACTTGCTCCACTACTAGCTCTTCTTTCTTGGTGGTACTGAGGTCCCCTCTTTCCTCTTCTGGGATGGCTCATTTAAAGCCTAGCATGATGGAAAAACTGACTAGTCCCCTTGTTAGGGTTCCATACACTTTATTTGCATGAACTCACCCCCAAAATGGTGCCGTGCACCTTATTTGTATTAGCAGCAAGCTGTCCAATCCCCATGGTGGGCCATAAGCACCTCATTTGCATAGTACCTCCCAGTCATTTGGTAGGAGTCACAAGACCATGGTGAGAAAGGCCACATAAAAGCAATCCACCATACCACAGGTTACTCAGGTACCAGCCATTCTAGTCTGCTGCAGGTATCCATCTGATCTGGTCAGGTTCTTCAAAAGTCATCTTGGCTTCACCCTTTCTGGTGTCTGATAAAATCTAAGAGATTATTCCCTTGCTCTGAGCCTCACAAGGTACCAGCACAGCAAAACCTTTAACGGACTTTTGGTTTGGCCACTGTACTCCAGTCCAGCGGTGTCTTCCCCTTAGTCCACTTTTTCATAGTTATTTCAACACTCACAAATGAATCATATAATTCTATCAACATCTTCCCCCCCCCTTCCCCAGACTCATCAAGAAAAGAGGAAACTATTCAGTGGGGATCCTCCCTCGTCCCCCTCATTTTGAGCGCAAGCACACCCATGAAAGTGTTTAAGCCAGCCACTTCCATGCCTTTATCTCTCCCGGTTTTAGACAGCCAATGCTTAAACTGCCCATCCCTATCAAACCAGTACTCTGAGACGACAAGCATGTTCCTTAGTCTAAAGAACCTTCTCTTCTGGTTGGAATTTTGGGCATCTGCATCCATAAGCAAAATCTAGTCCACAGCAAGCCAACAAATTGCAGCAATCTACACCAGCTCACAATGTCAAACATCTCTCTCTCTCTCTTCATTCGTCCAGTTCTGGTCAGCTCCTCCCTAGCCCCTGTGGGCTAGGTGAATGGGTACCAGCTGTAGGCTTAGAAGCCCATATACCTACCTGCACTTCAGACCAGCCAGCCCCTTCTCTCTCTCTCATCTCTAACCCACAGGGGCTAGGTCAATGGGTACTACCCGTAGGCTCAGGAGTCCACACAACTCCCAGCACTTCAGAACAGCCAGTCATTTCTCTTTCTCTCTCATCCCTAACCCCCTTGGGCTAGGTCAACGAGTGCCAATGTAACATGTCCAAATTCAGCCCATCTCTTCATTGCTACATCCCCATTTATGGAACACATAAACATCAATTATACTAGGCATTACTGAGCTGAAATGGACTGGTATTGGCCATTTTGAATCAGACAATCATATGGTCTGCTATGACAGGAATGACAAATTGAAGAGGAATGGTGTTGCATTCACTGTCAAGTGAGCATACCATGCTGTCTATTTGTTGGCTCCTTTTAACTTCTAGTTTTAGAAGGGGGTTTTTCTGGTGGACACTGACTTTTCCTGCCTTGACGCAACCAAAGGCAAACCTCTTGCTCAAAATTCAAAAGTAAAAAAAAGTCATTTTTTTGTATGCTGTGTGTCCTTTCAAATGCAGATTTTCTGACTGGAAAGATTCTGGGTGTGGCTCAGATTTTCTAACTAAGCCCCCAATACTCTATACACAGGGCTACTGCATTGAAATGAACAGCCTATGTTTCTCCTGGGCAACTCCTAGTTCCCTTTTTAGCATATCCAATCAAATACTGGCTGAAGGCAGAGTTACATAATCTCTGCAATAATACCCAATATTGATTTCCATCATACATTTAAGTCTGTTTTACAATACTAGGTAGGAGAAACATTCAATATCCATAGTATATTCAAATGAACATACAGCCTTTATAAACATTCCAGTTTCAGCTTCTCCACCCCTTGACTATCTTCCCATTCATGTGCATATGGCCTTGGGCCTCTGGCTGGGTGGAACCAGAAGACCTTGGCCCCCTATCATCTTGCTTAACTGGCCTGACCTCTGCCCTAAGCCACTCCGTATGTGGCTTTTCTCTACTCAACTGCAGTATAACATCTCTTAGTTTCCTTTCAGCCATTACAGGCAACAATAACCAAAGTTTAACCATAAAAGAATCAAAAATTTCACTTCCAATGTCCCTTCACTCTTTCTCTTACAAAGTCCCCTGCTTCTTTAAGCCTGGAGCCATTGCAACAAGTCTCGCTCCTGACACTAACTTTAAAAATGGCATGATGGGGGCATCTGACCTCCTCTAAGGTCACAAGCCTCAGGTGTCTGTCAGACGGTTGTTATACTCTGGTGGCCTGCACGCTGCTGTGATGCTGGAAGCTATGCCACTGGTATTTCAAATACCAGCGGGGTCACCCTTGGTGG